ACACACAGACTGTGAGTGAAAGTCGGTGTATTGAACCGAGTTGGAGCCGAATGTAATCGATGGTAGCTCAGGCGGTTCCTGCAACAGGACTGCGATATGGTAAAAATCCACTTTTGAGTGTATCTTGAACAAACGTTCTGAGATTGACTGACACTTACTTGTGAAGGAACATGAAGAAGCACGATGTGAAGAACGACGCTCAGCGGACACATTCGACACTGCATGCGGACGCAGACGAGCATCTCGCCCTCCAGCTCGTGAAAACTGGGATGTGTGCTCGGAGCCCGATGGGTTCCCTCATGATAAGTTTTGATTTATAAGTGGGTCCAGCAGTTGATTGTCTGGGCGTTTGCAAAACTCTGGTGTCCTCATATCTCGTCATGGATTTCAGTAGGAGGGTTGCCTCCATGACGTTGAAAGGATGTCAATTGTGCTAACAATGTTACCATGGGCTAAGGGCAGCAATAGCATGTTGCATTCAAATCGTGCATGAGATGTCGCCGAGAGCAAGGGGAATTGCCTCGATTCCTGCTCAAAAGCCTCGTCAGTACAGCGGTTATGTGGAACTAACGTGGCGGAACGTGCAGTGCGGATTACGCTCAGGTCTCGCAGCACTTTCAGTTTGGTGTTTGCGGCTCGTCAGTTGCGCGAGATGTCCGCAGAGAAACACGACACTCCTAGCCCGTCTGTACACGTTTTTTGTTGATTTCTCCAAGGCCATTTGATACTCGGTGAAACCAGCGAGGCTTTGTGGCCTGGTGTTCGGTATGTCCTTGGTTGACCTGCCCGTTATGTTGTATAAGTTTAAATTGAATGTCATGGCACCGTGGTATGCGACCGAGGGCTGCTATGCTGAGTGCGCAGAGACCTAGGATGTCTTTTGCTGTTGTTCCTACTGGCGGTGAAGCAAGGGCTGTGTCTATATCTCCTGTTCAGTATATATATTCAGGTTCATGAAACGAGGTCATTGCGCTTTTGGCGCTACTTGTGTTCTTACGGTGTTCGTGTGGTACACAATATTGTTGGTGGGTGGTTGATCGTCCGTCGTTTTCGGTGCACGAGAATCTTGTCTTGCATGTATACCTTGTCGTTTTAGTTGCCAGGACGCAAGCCACTTGGAATGTGATCTCTTTGGCCACACCTGCGCGCGATGTGTCCTGCTTGCTCCATGGTTGGGGACTCTGGAGTTCGACTAGATCCGAGCAAATTCGGCGCTTCCTTCTATACCTACCCATAGCTATTCTGTCATGTTTCTGTCTGCCTTATCCATGTCGGTAGCAATTATTAAATTTTGCCGCAATATCTGCACATTGGTGTCGTACTGTATTTGAAATACTCCACCTTGGGTGTGTGTGTCGACTGACTAGCAACTTCATAGTGCAGCCCCTTCGTATCACGCGCATCAGAAGGCCAGCCAAGCGGCATTCGGGTAGATTGAGTAACGTGTGTGGAAAAAAAGCATCAGCATTACCTCTCTGCACAAGGCTTGATGGTGTACGAATCCATGGGCTGTCGTTCATCATATACGGACTGTGAAACGTGGACGTTCGTACCACGGCGGGTGTGGCGATATCTCGAGCGGGTTCCATCAACAGTGTTTGCGACGGATTCCATGCGTATCCGGTTGGTGCGATACAGAGTTAAGGGATCGGTTGTGCTGCGCAGCAAGTGGAATGTATGCCAGTGGGGACCTGAATTACTTTTGGTGAGAACCATGTGGGGTGAAGTTCTATTCTTGGTTTAGTTGCAGGTCCAATGAGAATCTAAAGCCGGCTGATCGGCAGTGCTTGGTGTGTTCTATTCATGGGTAAGCGGCCGTTGCCAATGAGTGCAAGAGAAAACAGCTCGTGCCATGCAGGAGCCAGAAGCGGACTATTTGCGGATTTGGTCCGTAACAGCACGATGGGCTGTGCTCCATCGACATCGAGCGCAGGGTGCTGTGGGATCATGCACCGGTTCGCCCGATTGCCTTAGTAAGAGAAGGACGTAGGTGATATAGATATGCGAGGAACCACTCGGGATTCACACATCTGTTGCGATGACGTGTGTCACCTCGCTTTATGAAGTAGCAGGATTCGGAGACAAGCGTTTGTATAGTTAGCTGTATGGTCGAGTGACATAACCGCGTGCTTGTATTGCATAAGTCTCTGTTTTTTTATGGTGGTGGGTTATGTTTAGATTGTCTTAATTGCAATCTACCGCAAGAGTATCTGTCTACGTAAAACCGCTTCTGTTCTTAGACTTCCACACGTCAGCTTTAGCTATAGTGGTGTTTACTACGATATCATTTTCCGCGGGTGTGGACATTTTACTTAAGATATACTCTTTCGATGTAGTGA